CATTGAAAGAGATCCTGTTGGAGGGATGCAGTGATTATGGCCTAAAGAAGTCAAGAAAAGACATGGTCAGAAGATGCGTGGTAAATTTAACTGACTGGAAAACAAATGATCATTCCCATTTTCCTGCATACGTTGGTAAGATTGCATTTGTGATCATCCCAAGGAAGCCCACTCTTTGAGAAATTCTTTGGAAGCCCATATTCGGTAGCAGCATGATGAATGCTGGAGCCTAATAAGTATGATAAGACCAGAATTACATAAACGGTGTCATGATACTGCAGAGACAGGAAGAACTACATTGTTTTGATAGAAATGACAAAGAGCCATGGCGTTATGTATAATAACAACACAGCTAATTTTTAAAAAAATCATGGTGAGAGATATGAAACTAGACAGGAACAGTGCATTTGACAATAAAAAAACATGAAAAGATGGTTCATCAACCTGAACAGGAAGAGAGAGTGCATGGGCACTGAGGAGATTCTTCACGCACACTGATTAAACAAAAATGAATGTATAGTACCTATTATTTATTCTGAGTCTTCATCAATAAGTGACTATACCTTGCACAAGCCCATGAATTTTTAACAATATATATTTAACTTAATTAAATAGTTTATATAGACAGGGATGGCATAAAAAAAATGATTGCTGCTAGGAACCTGCATACCTTAGGGGCAACCCTGACTCAACCCTTCACTATATTTTCTCTAAGGAAGCCAGAGAATTGATAACTTAAATTTAGAATTTAAATTTTTCATTTAACTTTCAAGCTATTTTCCTTCTATACATTTTAAGTCATTTATAGTGCGTTTCACTAACCCTGACTTCTTCCATATCTCTTTTGCTCCATTTTCTCACCCTCCTCCCAACCCCCACTCCACCCCAATCCCTTTCAAATCCAAAGCAAAGGTAGGGGTGTGTGTGGGGGTGGGGAGAAAGAGAGAGAGAAAGAGAGAGGAGAGAGAGAGAGAGAGAGGAGGGAGGAGGAGGAAGAGAAAGAGGAAAATCAAAGAGAATATCAAAATGATCAAAATGGTCTCATTATTAGGGTGGGAGAAAAGAAACATGTACAAATTCTATTTTGCCCACATTACACTTTGTCCTTACATGCAAGGTAATGCTGGAAGCGTAGCCCACTTAAAACTAGTGTTGTTCCTGCTTTGTTGTTGCCCAGAATTGAGGCCCCCATCTGTTATATGGTTCAAGGACATTAGCATCAAGGCTGTTAGGAAAGTAACAACTCCATCCATAACTACTACTCCTTTGGCCATGACACCTTGGGTTGGAGAAGTTAACTGCTAATTTTGAAGTCTGGTTACACACAGCTGGCCCCAATATAAACCTGATCTTGAGGAATAATAGGCTCTTATATCCAGAAAGAATCTCAGGGATCATTTACCCAACTAGCTCATTTTATAGATGCAGAAGCTGAGACTCAGAGAGATTGTGTCTTACCCAAATTCATATGGTAAATTAATTGTAAAGATGACCTATAACCCCCAGTCCAGTGCTTCTAGAACCATGCCATGTTACCACTCCTTTGGTTTCACTCATTCACTCAGAGAGTAAATCTTTTCTGAGTGCCTACTCTGTTTTAGGTACTGCTTTATATACTAAAATACAACAGTAAACAAAGATCCTTGCCCTCATGGAATTTACATCCTACTAGGGGGAGAAAGAGTATAAACATGACAAATAATTCCACTGTAATTTTAAAGTGCCATAGGACAAATAAAATAGGGTAAAGGGGATGGGAAGTACTAGAAGAGAGTGCTTGTAATTTTATGTAGGGTGGTCTGGTTGGGGTAGTCACATTGAGAAAGTGACATTTGAGGAAAGACTTGAAGGAGGTGAAGAATTGAGCCATATGGCTAAGGAGGAACAGCATTCAGGCAAAGGGAACAGTGAGTGCAAAGATCTTAGGAGGAGGATCTGCCTTGTAAGTCTGAGGAACAGCAAAGAGGCTAATGTGGCTGGAGCAGAGACTAGGTGGGGGAGTAATAGGAGATAATATCAGTGTTATGGTTTGAATGTTTGTCTCTGCCAAAACTCACGCTGAAATTTAACCACAATGTGGCAGTATTAGGAGGTGTGGCCTTTAAGAAGTGATTAATGGATTAATGGGTTAATGAGTTATCATGGGAGTTGTATTAATGGCGTTATAGAAGAGGAAGAGAGACCTGAGTTAGCATGGTCAGCCCCCTTACCAAGTGATGCCCTGTGCTTCCTTGGGACTCTGCAGGTCTCCACTGGCAAGAAAGCTCTCACCAAATGGGCCCCCTCAACCTTGGACTTCCCAGACTCCAGAACTGTAAGAAATAAATTTCGTTTCTTATAAATTACCTAGTTCTAGAAATTCTGTTATATGCAACAGAAAACAAACAGAGAGGGAAGGAGAGCTGCAGGTGAGGGTCTGGGAGTCAGATTCTCTACGGCCTACCCTGTAAAGACCTGGAGCTTTAATCTGAGATGGAGATGGGGGCAGTACAAGCAAAGCAGTGACATGATCTGATTTACACTGTAGCAGAATCACTCTGGCTTCTGTGTTGAGTCAGAGTAGACTGGAGGGGACAAGGATAGAAGCAGGAAGTCAGTTCAGCTAGAAGGTATTACTGAGATTTACTACCATTCAAGGGAACTCTTCACAGTATACACAATTAAAATTTTATATAGCTGTTTGTACTTGTGACTGGTGACAAGTCTTTGAGACATCTGAGTAAATGAAACATTAGCTGCATGAATTGTTTGATTTGAGAATTAAAATTAATCTTTGAATAGGGAATTCTCAATTCTGAGCTTCTGAGAGTAGTGTGAGATTGCCAAGAAAACTCATAGACCTAGAAAAGTAAATATAAACACCAAAGCAATTTTTAAAGCCTGATAATATTAGAAAATAGCAAACATGAGTTTGCATTACCTGCAAAAGAAGCTAAGATGACCACAAATAAGACAATTCTCTTAGGAACTTATTTCTTTAGCAATAAAGATGAAAACAGAACAGCCATGCTTTAGGGCAGCGTTCCCCAACCTTTTTGGCACCAGTGACCAGTTTCATGGAAGACAATTTTTCCATGGACTGGGGGTAGGGGGTGGATGTTGTGGGTGGTGGTGGTGGGGAGCTCAAGTGATGTGCAGCCCGTTTCCTAACAGGCCATTGACTGGTACCGGGCCATAGCCTGGGGGTTAGGGATCACAGCTTTAGGGGATATTATATGTATTTTTAAAATTACTAATAAGTAGCATCAACATTGTATTTTAGAGTTTACAACATGCTTTCATACACATTATTTCACATTATCTGAATGCTTTGTAAGTTTATGTACCTTATAAATGGCTAAGGCAGGGCTTCTCACTTCTGGCTCCAGATCCCATGATGGTTATTCTTGCTATACCTTTTGTCTACCTGCAGAGCTTGAAATATATTTGTTCCATAACATCTTTAATTATAAATTAAGAATGAAACACTAAAAGAAATCCAATCTGCCTCATGAGAATTTTCCGTAATTTCAGTTAAGGGCCTTGCTGTGCTTTGTCTCTCTGTCATTGTCAAAATGAAATTAGAAAATAACTAAAAAATGCTTAATGATGCCCATGTAGGGGGTGACAAAATGTTAGGCAGGGACCAAATTTGCAGGTGGCAGATACAGGCCAGGATGGCAGGTTCCTAGGGGCGGAGAAGGACGGGGTACCAGTTAGGGGAAGGGACTGCAGGAAAATGCAGAACACCTGACAATCACATCTATCAATCATCTGATAACACCCCACACCTCCCATAAACCCTCCCCTGAGGAGACCAATAAAAGGAAACCACCTGGGCATACTTAACATCTTTCTCTACTCATGGAGACTGATCTGTTCCTCTCTCTGGAACATATTTTCACCAATAATAGCTTCCTTCTTTTCTGCAATAAAGCTGTTTGTATGGAATTGCTTCCTGTCTGCAATCTCTCCGTTGTACTGGCCTGCTGGTGATACTTCCAAGCAAGGAGCCAAAGAACCAGGATAAGGACCAGAACCAGTCTGCCAAGAGGCCGGATGTAACAAAAGTAAGGATTTGGGGATGTGTTTTCTTGATTACATTAGCATTGGAAGTCTGTTAGGGAGCAATCTCCAGTATTAAAAGTAACACTCTTGAGCATTCTGAACATGTAGGCTTTATTTATAGTGATATATAACAGGTTTATGAAGGATGCTTTACCAAAAATTGTTAATAAAATAGTAAGGTAAATAAAAGGGCATTCCATTTACTAGATTAAAATTTGCAACCAATAGTAACCTTTTTCTAATATAAGCTTATGTTGGTTGCTTTGCTGAATCTTACCTCTTTTTGGCAGGTTGTTTTTAGTATCATTCAGTTAGGAAAAATTTTTCAATTAACAGAAATGAGCAATCACAGACATCCTTAGATTTTCGTCCAGTCGCGTTCATTTCACAAATTCAGGAGTGAAGCCCAAAGATCTGAACCCGGTAGCCAGATCTCCGGACTCCCAGTCGATTTCTCCCCTGGGTCCACCCCGACTTAATAAGCAGCTGGGCCAACCTTCTGGACCTGCTCTACGCAGTAGCAGAGCTTTCGCTCCTCCCTCGCTGGATTCTACACTGATCCCAGCTCCTCGTCCAGCTCCTATGGGACGCCAAGCAATTTGGAGGTCGAAAAGCGCAGAAATCACCGGTACCCAACCGCTACTCGGTACCAGGTTGAGCGTCCGCAGAGCCGGCTAGACAGGGTCGCAAACCGGAAAACGTGGAAGCTCCCGGACGTCCTCCTCCCCTCGCCACTACCTACACGGTCCCGCCTAGGAGGCCAACCTTCAGCCCAGACTCATCGAGCGAGGATGCCGCACTGAGGGGCTTCTCAGGCTCAGGCCCTGCAAAGCCCCGGAGCCAGTCCTAGGTGTCCTTGGCGAATGCCAGACCGGACGCCTTCACCATCCCAGCAAATCCTGAGCGGGCGTGGGACAGGCGACAACTCAATGTCCTGCAGGCTAGGCAGAACGAGTCGAACGCGGAACTAGGGAGCAGGCGGAGGCCGGCGCGGAGCTGTTGCTCAGCAGGCCCGGCCTGGCTTTGGGCCCTGGGCCTTCTAGCCGGGGGACTCTGCGCCTGCGCCCGCCCGGCCGCCGCCCGCTCTGCCGGCACGGCCCTGGTCTCGGCTGCTGCGCGCTGCCTGGGTGTCTGCGCGATCCATGGGCAGCAGCAAGGGCCACGATGACAGATTACGGCGAGGAGCAGCGCAACGAGCTGGAGGCTCTGGAGTCCATCTACCCCGACTCCTTCACAGGTGACTTCCCCGGCCGCTAGCCCGCAGCCGCCCGCAGGTGGAGTGGGACGGGCAGGAGCCGCTGCAGCCCTCGGCCTCCTGGGCTGGGGAGGAGAAGGGGACGGCGAGGCTGCGCGGCCACCTCGCCCGCCAGTCTTCTCAAGTTCTTCAGTCACTTACCAGTAACTCAATGACTTTTTCCCTTTTTCCGCTTGTTTCTTGACATCTAAAAGTCCGGGTGATGCTGGAGAGTGTCAGGCTTGGAATTGAGATGGGAACACTTGGGTTTCTGTGTAGCCTCTAGCAACCCGAGATTTCGTGAAATATACTGAAAGAGAAGGTATTCCAAGTGACGTTAGTTTTTCCAGAGTCGCAAAGGTGTTGGTTTTCACATTTTCACCTTTATTGAGGTAGAAACTGGTTTTCATACAATGGCATTTTAAAATTTGTGGGATTCAGAATGCTGTTCTCAGTAACCAGAATCGGTTTTGAGAGTAGCATAATCCCTGAAGTTTGTCCGGCGTCTTCTTTAAGAAAATATTCTGGCATTCTGCAGAATGCCTATTGAATGATGTGGCCTAAATTTCTGTTCCGCTGTAGATTCATAGGTTGTTAGACTGGAAGGGATATTAGACATCATCTAGCCTGGGACTCGTCCTGCCACAAGCAAAGTAATGGAGGCTCAGGAAAGGTAAGTGTCTTGCTCTGGGACTGCCAGCACGTTAGCGGCAGGGCTGGTACTGAGAGTTAGGTCTGGAATTCTTTCCTGTTCTTTCACCCTCCAGACATGTGGGACTGGGATCCAGCTCCAGATGAGATGAGGGGGAGCAGAAGATTACTTGGTAGGTTGGGCTGATTTAAAATAACGATAAGTTTATTAGGCATAATTTAAAGGAAGAGAATTCTGTATGAAGCCATGCTTCAAATGATTCTGAAAAGGCTACAAGATAACTGTATCAATGACTTTCTTTAGATCTGAGAAGCAGTCAAATACAGCCAATACGAGTGAGTAGATCCTAGGTTTGTGGATTTACATTACCCATCCTTTCCTTTAAGTGTTGTCCATCATTGATGGTCAGAATTTATAGTGTAAGGTATGTTACTTTAACTGGTAAACTCCAACCCCTTTCTCCCTTTCATTGTGCAGCTTAGTTTTCTTGGCTCCACCTTTTGACCACTGCTTGCAATGGTAGCAAATTTTGTTCTGCTTTGCCAACAGGCAGATGTCTCTCAGCTACCCCAGTATAGCTCCAGTCCTGTTCATGTTCTCTCTCACCAGCAGTACATCTGTGCTGTGAGGATGTTAAGGGGATGAGTGAAGAGGGGTTTGAGAGTGTCATTAACTGGGTGAGTGTGTATGGAGTCTGGCTCCCTTCTCTATCCTTGCTTATATGTTGATGTCTAAATAAAACAGAATATAGGGTCAGTTGTTGGATATATTCTTAGTTAGGATGTTTGGTCATTTCCAGCACTTTGGAAATGAATTGGTATGAACACTGTGTAGGCAGAGTCAAGAAAGCATAAGATGTGCTATTCTTTTCATTTCTTCAGAGTTAAGGGATCCTCCCTCATTAAATCCTGTGCATATAAGCATTTATAAAAGTGATACATTTTTAACCCTAAAAACAATCTTGTAGGTATTTCAAATTGTGCTAAGCTGTGACAGCTCTGGTATAGTTCAGTATGTGAAATTCTTGTCAGATGCACAAGTGCTTGAGGATTCTGAGCCAGGGTAATAAAAGACAGTTTATGACTCTGTGATGCACTGAAGTATTCTGCAGTATCAGTTGAGCCACCTGCCTCTAATTCCTGTCAGCATTCCTATAAGCTTTGCAATAAATAAATTAAAATGAGATGTCTTGATTTATAGTACCTAGGGAACTTTGCCTTACTAGTGATCATGTTCTTTATGAAACCTCTTATGGGAAAGGCAGAGGGCTTTGAAATAAAATGTTCCTATATTTGATCTTTTGAAATCTTGAGGATTTTCAAGGTTTGTTGCTTTATAGCCTTCTTTCGTGTGTATGATTCCATACTTTCGTATTCTCATGCCAAGTTTTGAGAAAGAGCTTGCTTTTGTCAATTTACCAAGGAACACTAATTGGTAGTTTTCTAACTTTCGAATCACATTTAACTTTGAGTTGTATTTAACTATTGGATTTGGTATATACTCAATGCTATTAACAAAGGACATAGATATACTTTTTTTTTTTTTAGTGGATGACTGAGTGCTTGACAAAGAAGCATTTCTTAAATACACAAGACACCATGTGGCTGCTGAAGAGGCACAGTGTAGCCCATAGACCTAGCCTAACCTCAGAATTAATTGCTTGACTATTTGCAAAGAACTTTTGGTCCACTGTTGCATTTGTTGTGAATTATAACAAATCATAACACAATTTCTTCTTTTTGCCTATTCTGTAGCTTGATTGCACATTGATCCAACCCTCCTAACAACTAGTCTTCCAAAATATAAATGGATTCTCCTGATACCACATTCTCCTTCAGTAGTGCTTCACTTGACAAGGTCCTGCTAAGGTAGTAGAATTTGGTTATTTCAATTTCTATATCAAAATCTCTGGCTGTGGGAAGTTTTGTTGGAACAAAATTTGTTGGCATCAGGTTAACCAAAAGCCAAATTTCCATAATTCTGTTTGCCTTACAAAGAGGGCTACATAATCCTGTATTTGCTATGTCAGTACCTCTAAGTAGCAGCCATCACCATTTAACAGGTATAATAATGTATCTTAGAGATAGGGTAGGAGTCATCTTGTAAAATTAGTTTTTCTAAGACATACTTTTTGAAAGGATAGTCACTCCCTGACAACCAAAGGGATTTTGATATGGGCTGTCTGGTTTTTGTGAAAACTTAAGTTCATTTGTGTATTCCTGTAGTGTACCTTTTAGCCACTATCTTCATTATCTTTGTTTTTGATAAAATACTTAATTTTGTCCATTTCACAATCATCTGCCCCCATGTCACCTAACGCCTCTCCTGCCCTTCCATTAGTTCTTTCCACTATGCCCAACAGCATTCATTTTCTCAAAAATATTTTGGTCCACTCAAAGTGGTGGAAGTCTGGCATCTTTAGTGAAGGCTAATCTTTCCTCTGCTGGCTGTAACTCACAGTAATACATTGGAATGGAATTAGTCCTTCATCAGAACTTGAGAATCATCCATTTTTGCAAATCCAATCAAATAACTTTCCCATCCTTATTTTAGTTACTACCAAACTTTGAAATATTATTCCTTGTTTTCTTTAATTTTTATTTTAGGATTAGGTTCAGCTGTGACAGAGAACCCCACATAGCACTAGGTTTTTAAAAAGGTAAATAAGTGATTTTTGCTTCCACACATAAAAGAGAGTTTTGGTAGCTATAGTCCAGGAAATCCTCAAGGACCCATCTTCTAACTTAGCTCTCGGTCATCCCTAAGGTGTTGTCTCACCCTCATGGTCAAAGGTGCAGCATTCCCTATTCAGGCAGTATGACAAATAAAGGAATGAAAAAAAGAAGTAAAAGAGAGCAGTTTCTTAAGGATGTTTTCTAGAAACAGTCAAAGGACATATCTGCTTCCATCTCGTTAGCTGGAACTTAGTTACTTGGTGAGGCCTAGCTGGAAATGAAACTGGAAAATGTAGTCTTTATTCTGGGTGCTCAGTATGCTCAGTTAAACACTGTATAACTTGAACAAGGGGAGAGTGGATTTCGGGGGTCTATTATTAATAGTAGTATTTCCCAATATTCTTTTTCTTTGTTGTACTTGGTTCACATTTTTTTTCTATAGTAGCACTTGGTGTAGTGTCCTCAGACAAATCATATAACCTCTCCAAGCCTCAGTTTCTATATCTGTTTAATGAGAAGGAATGTTAAGTATAAATATTTCATAACTGTTAAACAGACGTAACTCTTTACTAGAAATTTACCATCTTAGTTGTTGATATTGCAATAATATAGTTTCATAAATCCTTATCTTTATCAACTACCAATTTTGATTTCCACTCCTTTGGCTGCACATGAGCATAGCTACACCTTGAAAATGCCATCTCTAAAATTTTGGCCTTTGAAATTCCTCCTTCTGTCCATAAGCCTTATAGCCCTGTAGTTTTTTCGTTCCTATGTTTTTATTGAACATGCCTCTCATAATTTCTCACGGATTGATAGTTCATCAGCTTCTTTCTGGTCCATCTTGCCTCCCTATTCTGTCTGGCTCTCCAGGTCAAGCAGTTCAGTGATATTCTTGCTAACATCCCTATATCCTTTTGGTTTCCTAATTTACTAAATACTTCTTATATCCACTTTTAGGAGCTCAGTCTATTAAGAAAACAGACATTGGATAAATTTAGGGAGAGGGGACAGCCTGAGTTGTTTTGGAGAACTGAGGTGTGATGAGGAGTGAATGGGACTGGGGGAAGGGTATTCCGGCATGGGGCACAGCATATGCAGAAGCAGGACTCTGAGAGATGGAAATGTATTAAAAGGACAAGTGGTTTGGTATTGTTGGAACATGAAGTGAGAAGTAAGAGTCTTGGAAAATGAGATCTGACAAGTAAGCAGGGGTCAGATCACAGAGGGCCTCGTCAGAGATTTAGATATGATCCGACAGGACAATAGGTCATTGCCCATTTTATCCCTCCATAACTACGCAGAACATACAGTGCACACATTGTAGATACTGCCATGTCAGACCCAGATCCTGATTGGGGGGGTGGCTTCACAATAAAATAGGCTTCGGGTTATGCATGTTTTCTAGTGTGTAGCCTATGACTCCACCCCTTTCTCACGACTGATCCCAACATACTGTGTATAGATAGAGAACTGCTGCTATAGGTGGATAATGATGTGATAAAATCTGCTAGGAAACTCCATGTGAGGAGAGACAGTGGGAAGATGAGGTGGGATGGGGAGAATCATCCTTCTTCTTTCCTTGAAATGCTCCCTTGCCTTGATTTTCATAACACTGTTATCTCTTGAGTTTGTTATCACCTCTTCTGAACGCTTCTTTTAATCTCTGGCAGTTTTACTTCCTCCTACTTTGTTCTTCAAATTGAGGATTCCTTATAGAGTTGGTGTTGACTTTCATCTCTCTCTTGTTATTTTTGCAATGATCTCATTGATTTCATTTAGTCTAATGGCCTTCGCTATGATGTCTCTGTAGTTGATCCCAAATTGAATTAAAGCCCAGCTCTCACTAGTTCTATTTGCATATTTGATTGCTTCCAACTGAAAGTACCTGTGTCCTTAAAATATATCATGTATGAATTTTTATTTTTTTGTATTCCTCATTTGTGTTAGTGGTACCGTAACATTCTCAGCCTGCAAACTCAAAGTATCATCCCCATCTTAGCTTCCTCTGTATTTTCTGTTATTCCCCTTGCTGCCAGCCTAGTTCAGAACTTCATTACCTTTGCCTGGGTCATTACAATAGTTACCTAGTTTCATCCTACCTCTCGTCCTGTTTCCTTCCTTCCATTTTATGCACTGTTGTTAGATTTGTCTTCCTATGTTTAGAAAACAGTTTTGACCATATTATTGTTAAAAAACTATTGTCCATAATTGAATTTTCAGTATATTTTCAACTAGTTTTCTTTACCCACACATAAGTCCTCCAAACATAAAAATTTGTAATTTTTTTTTTTTTTTTTGTATATTCCTTTAGGTTTCCCACCATTGTGCCCTTGCTTTCATGGTACCCTCAAGTACATTCCTCTTCTCTATCTCTACTGACCAAGTTACCATCTATGATTTACAGCCTAGCTCAAATGACTTCCTTGGAATTTCTCAGCTGGAAATATGTTTTTCTTTTTAAATGAAGCTCTATACAGTTTATTCATTTTGGTTGGTTAGTGGCTGTATTACCTTAGACAAATTATTTAACAAGCTCTGTGTCTCAGTTGCTAAGTCTATAAAATTGGGGTGATACTATATTTGATTGTTTCTAAGACATATTTTTTACATTTTAACGAACTTATCTTACAATCGATTACATGTCATAGTTTAATTGGTACCTTATTTTTCTTTCTTAGTGGTTTATAAAGTAAGGTGCCATCATACTTGATGACATCATAAATATAGTGAGAGTATAAAGTCATGGTCTTAGTGCCAGAAGTAAAGGATTTTCATGTAACTGCATAGCATAGCACAGGCACAAAGTGATGCTCAATAAATGTTAGCTGTTATTGTTGGGTATAGGTTACCCCTGACCTACAGCCTCATAGAGTCCTAGAAAATGGTAACAAATTGGAATGTCAATGGGTTAAACCCTTACTTCTACAATTGCAGAGTTTAACGCATGTAACACATATTCATGACATGAAATGCTAAAGTTTGTCATGAAAGGAAATAAGAATGAAATACATCAACTATCTTTTTACATATACTTGTTAAATAATAGGCTAGGCCAATCATATTATGAAAGCTTTATTATAATGACCTTTCAGTGGCCTTTTCAGCATGGGCTGGACTGCCTGAGACTTAAAACATAAGTCCAGTGAGTCTGTCTTCCTGAAACACATTTTAGTAATTATAGGTTTTCATCATTGGTCCAAGTACCTTAAACTTCAGTTAAAATGAAGGCAACTGTCTTGAAAGTATTATTGATAATATAGATTTATGGCAGCTTCAGAAAGTTCCCAAATAGTAAAAGCTGAATAGTTTCCATGGTGACTTCTTCAGTGATCCATTGCTCTTTAATTTCAGAAAGAGTCTGTGGAGCTGTGGCCAACCTTGACAGGTGCCAGTGCTTCCCAGGCATGGAATGAGGCATAGGCTTTTCTCATAGGCTTAGCAGCCATCCCTGGTGGCTTGAAATTTCCTTATTTACTATTCAGATGGTTCTGAGTACAAGTTTTATTTTTTTGTTATTGTTTTTCTCCTTTCATTCCATTAGTTTACTTCTTCCACTGAGCAAGTATTGAGTTTCTACATACTGCCAGGCACTGACCTAGGGGCTCTCATAAAGTTGTTACGGTATTCTTGTGGGGGAATAGGTAGTAAACAGAGATACAGTATTAGATAGGCATTAGGCTGTAAAGTGACATATAAAGCTTTCTTATTTATATATGTATAAATGACTTACATGTCTTACATGTCTTAATAAATTGCAAGCAGTATATTTAGATTCATAGCTAATTCTTTTTATAATTCTATGAAAGATGGTAGAAACTCAGTAAGTATTTGTGAAAGAATAAAGATGGTTCCAGAGATGATGTGGCAGAGAGAGAAAGCAAGAAGACACAAACTAAGAAAACAATATTTACTGTTTGTTTGTCGTGGAGATTCTGAGTTAAACCCCAGAATATATAAATATGAAAATCAGTAATGAGACGAGTATTATTCATATGAGTAGTTTCTTTGTTTGCCATTGCCTTTGGGATTTTTAAGAATGAAATTTTTGATGTATAAGTGGAGATTTTGAAGTAAAAGGTAAACTCCTTATTTCATTGTTTTGGTAAAACTGTAAGAAGGTTATGTATTATAAGTATTTCTTTCCAGATTAAAGACAACCCTCCAGTTAAGTAGAAAGTTGATGGACATTTTATCATTTCAATGTTTTGTTCAGTCTGTATTTGTGGAAATGGAAATATAGAATAGGGACCAATTTCCAGGACTGGTTAGTGATAATTTGCTAATAAGAAAAAGTGTCTGCCTTAGGAAGCATGTTAATAGCTTCTTTGTATATTTTCTTTCAGTGTTATCAGAAAATCCACCCAGCTTCACCATTACTGTGACATCTGAAGCTGGAGAAAATGATGAAAGTAAGTCTAATAAAAAATGCTTGCAGTTTTTCTAAGCTTCTCTCTCAGGAATTTCATTCATTCTGCAGCCATCGTGCTGGGCATTGCAAGTGTGGAGGTGCTAAGGTGCTGTTATGAGTCTGGAACTAATGTTGTGTGTTTCTAATTGATATTTACTGTGTAAACATGAGAAAAAGGGAGGAAACCAGTGAGATACAGTGTGGTACGATAAGCTTAGCTTTTAAAAGTGAGGCAGAAACATTAACAGTATAACAGATGGAGAAAAGGTGGGAGATTTTTATTCAA